GGGGGGGGGGAGGGGACAAATAGGTGGTTTAGAGACATGAACCAAGAATATTGTGGTCTATGTTGAAAAGCATCTTCCACGAAGACTTTTAATGATTTGTGCATCTTAATCTATTATACTTGGTTCTTGTTGTTCATAAGGTTCAGAGCCAAACTTAAAAAGAAACTTTTATTGAAAGTAGTATTCAATACTGCTGGCGCAAAACCAGCTTCTAAATAGACCTCAAGCTGAGGGTTGTAGTTGCTACTCTTGTTTCTCCTAGTCTTGTGGGATCATTGCTTCAGAATTTGGCCGCCTTCTTTTGCTACTCTCTCAGCTGGTTTGTCTTTATTTTGTTTTTTAAGTGACTACAAAAATAGTGCCAGTTCTCTATTACCTTATGTGTCAAATGCCTAATAGAAACCAAGCAGAGCCAGACATTAGTGGCTCATGTTGTAATCCTAGATACACAGGAAGTAAGATCTGAGGATCTGGGTTCAAAGCCAGCCTGAGCAGACAAATCCAAGACTCCGATCTCTAATTAACAAGCAAAAGGCCTATAAGGGGAGGTGGGGGGCTCAAGTGGTAATAATGCTCCAGCCTTGAGTGAAAAAGCTAATCAAGAGTATAAGGTTCTAAGTTCAAGACCCAGTACCAGCATGGGCATGACACAAGCTAATGCTGGTGGCAGGCTCTATAGTTAACCAACAAAAGATCATCTTCTCTTTCTAAAATATGTCCATTGCTTATGCATGAGAAAAGAGGAAGGTAAGGTCAGTGGGAGAGAGGAAGTGAAGTCAGTGGGAAAATGGTCACTGTTTTCCTATACTTTAAGACACATTTGAGAGTGATTTATTTCTACAACGAGATGTATGAGTCTGTTCCTGTTACATTTGAAAAAATATCAGTCGGCCCTTGTTCTGCATAAAGCTCTGGACACTCAAAGCCTTTATTCAGTAATGAGGTTATTATTTGGAGATATATAATCATGCATTTATCATTTTAAAAGCTCTGGGAAATATTGTCCAAAAATTACTTCAAGGAAAACAAGGAGAGGAAATAGAGACAAACAGCTTTCAAATTGGCCTCCAAGAATTGCCTAATGTCAGAGTTGCTAGAGGTACATTTCATAAAATGCTATCTCCTGGCATGTATCCTCTCTGATAACGGACAAGGAGAGAATACCTCATGATGCCAGTTTGCCTTTGTGGCGAAGTCTCTGATGCTGAAAGAGACCTGACTTTTGCCGGAAGGCTTCTCCACACTCACTACACTCATACGTTTTTTCTTCATTGTGGATTCTTAAGTGCTGATCAAGGTGTGAGTTTAGTCGGAAGGCTTTCTGGCATAATTTACATTTGAACGGTTTTTCTCCTGTGTGAATCCTGTGATGTCGAATAAGGTCTGAGGTCAAACTGAAGGCTTTTCCACATTCATTGCACCGATGGCTTTTGGAGTGACTATGGATTCTCTGATAGTGGGTGAGCAGCAGGGCTTTGCTGAAGGTCTTCCCACACTCCTTGCACTCACAGGGTTCCTCCTGACTGTGGATTCTTTGATGTCGATTGAGGTGAGAACTTCTCCTAAAGTTCTTCCCACAATGGATACACAGATAAGGTTTTTCTCCAGTATGGATTCGGAGGTGTTCCAAAAGACCTGTGTTCTGGCTGAAGACTTTCCCACATTCTTTGCACTGATAAGGTTTCTCACCGAGATGGATTTTCTGATGTCTGATGAGGTGTGAACTCCTCTGAAAGACTTTGCCACACTCCTGGCACTGATGACCTTTTTCTCTGGAGAACATTTCCTGACATGTGGTAACAGAACTCTGACACACTTCTGATTCACAGTGCTTTCCTCCTGGGTGGGGACTTGCACTTTCAGTCAGGCCAGAGCATTTATAGTCAGCTGTACCCTGGGGATTGTTCTGCTGCTTTTCCAAGTTAATGACCACGTGATGAGTCTCCATGAAATCAGGTATTTTCCTACATGGTTCCACTCTTTCACAGGATTCTGTCACTGCAACAAGCTTCATGTTCTCAGTCCTTGTCTCCTCACCTAAAACATGAAATATATATCATTTCTTCTTGTGGAAAAGAATCTTCAACTAGGAGAAAAATGTAAAAGTGCTGTCTGTCATACCTTGTGACTGAGATCTGAGATCTGAGATCTGAGAAATTGAGGTTCAAAGCCAGATTTTTATCTCTGATTAATCAAAAATCTGAAAGTGGACTGTGGCTCAAGTGGTAGAATACTAGCCTTCACTTTAGCAAAAATATAAAAAGCTCTGGGACAGCTCACGGACCCTGAATTCAAGCCTCAAGACTGGCACAAAAAATTGTATGTGGAATGATAAACAAGAAATTGTTAATGGAGAATGATTTGGGGAAGGATATAACTTTGTGGTAGGCAGTGACTTATTTTAAATTGTTTATATTCTAGTGTGTAATATATAGCACATTCAGAGAAGCTAGCAAATTTCATTTTTTTATGTACTGGAGTTTTAACTTAGAACCGTGAGTTTCCACTTCAGTCATGTCTCTAGTCCTTTTTGCTTTCACTATTTTTTTGCATAGGGTCTTGCTTTTGTCTGGGAGAAGCCTGGGCTACAATCCTCCTATTTATTATTCCCTCATAGCTAAGGTGACAGACTGAGACAGCTTTTTTTTTTTTTATTGGTTAAGATGGAACCTTGAGGCTTTTTTTTTGCCCCATATTGGTTTTGGACTGTGTTCTTCTCAATTTCACCCTACTGAGTATCTGGGATTACAGGCATGAGGACATGTCTTGTAAATGATTTGTAACAGGGAAAATACAAAAGCTAGGTGAATTGAAGACCCTTGCTCCTGTAAGAAAGGGTCACTTTTACTGTGGGTGTGGTGCCAGTTTTGCCAACATAGAAGGGTACTTTAAGTCTCTGGGCTCAGTGACCTCACCAATAAACAACAACAACAACAAAAACACTGGACCATCGACCTTGAGAGTAGCATGTTCATGAAAGAAAGAAAACCTTGTATGAAAAAAAAATGTGTGAAAGCTTGGTCCCAGCTGGTGGTGCTCTTCACAGGTGATTGGGTCTTGAGGTTTATGACTTCATCTATGAACTAATCCCCTGGGGCTGAGAGATAAGCATCTGCTAGAACATACTTCTGTGAAGACTTTATTAATGCCAACTGCAAGTCACTGAAGGTGGTGCACTTTTTTCTATCTTTCATTTATTTTTGATATTTATCTATTTGGTTGTTTTTTCCATTTTGACAAATATTATTTTATATGATCAGGGGCCCAGAGGCATGAGTGCTCATTTTTTTTTGTGTGTGTGTGTGTGCCAGGACTGAGCTTGAACTCAGGGTTTCATGTTCTTACTTGGCTTTTGAGCTTAAGGTTGGCATTCTACTTCTTGACCATACTTCTACTTTTGGCTTTCTTTTGTTGGTTAATTGGAGATAAGAGTCTTAAAGATTTTTCTGTCCAGGCTGGCTTCAAACCTTGCTGCTCAGAGCTCAGCCTCCTGGGTAGCTAGGATTACAGATATAAGCTATTAGTGCCCAGCTTGGAATTTTTCAAACATCAGAAAAAAAGTAAGGACTGGAGGCTTGCCTTAAAAGGTAGAACCTGCCTTGAACTGAGAGTTCAAGTCCCAGTACCACTCAAAAAAAAAAAAAAAAAGCCGGGCGCTGGTGGCTCACACCTGTAATCCTAGC